CCATTAAGTAATCACGATTCTGCTTAAACTGCTTGACGTTTAAAGCTGATTTTTGGCAAACGAATTGACTGTGGGGTGTAGAGGTTGGATAAGGAGGGGTTTCTCGAATCTCAAATTCCAAGATGGTGAAAACGCCCCTCAAATATTACAATATTTGATATTTAAAAAACGGTTAGTCTTTCGGGACAAGCATAATTTTATTTGGTTTTTTTACATATTTTGAAAATTTTTAAAAAATCATACAGGGTGTTCCAAAAAGTTGGGTAATTTCTTAACCACGATTCTGCTCAAACTGCTTGACGTAAAAAGCTTATTTTTGGCAAACGAATTTTTCGAAAGTCAAATTCCAACGAGATGAAACTACCCCTCAAATATTACCAAGTTATATAATAATATCGCCATATTGTTTTTTCTCATGCTGACATAAATGTGAGAAAATTTTATCCAGTTTGTATGCTAATGGAAATTCTTGCTTTGCTTTATCATCACCATTACAAATGATTAATTCAACGCGAACGAAGTTGCGGGTACATGCTAGTAATGCCCACTTGCACCGTTTGTATAAACGTTGTTTAAAGGCTAAACAGTGATTAACTATATAATATTTTATTATAATTAATAATTAAACTATATAATATTTTATTATAATTAATCACTGTTTAGCCTTTAAACAAAGTTTATACAAAGGGTGCAAGTGGGCATAAGACTTATAAAAATATATATTAAGATCCGTCTACAGTAAGACTGTAAAATATTTGGTTATGTAGCGAGTGATAGATCTCGGTCAAAATTGAAGGAAAATAATGGAATAAGTTTTCACTAGTAAGTGACTATACAGGGTGTTTCATAAAACATATGACGTGGGGAGATTCCTCATCTAAAAATAAGATTTATTTTTCATATCAACATAGGTCCGATTCTGCTTTGTTTTGTAGCTACATGGTGATAAAGTCTTAATATTTTTTCGAGTTATTATAATTATCTGTTTTTTTTTCGACACTTTTTTTAGCATTAAAATATGTAGCACTTATAGTAACTTTTACCCTCAAAATTTCATTCGAATCGCTAAAAAAACTTGGAAGAAAATTATAATAAATCGAAAGATTATTAAGATTTTAACACCCTGTAGCTACAAAACAAAGCAGAATCAGACCTACATATGTTGATATGAAAGATAAATCTTATTTTGACGTGAGAAATCTCCCCACGAGAGATGGCACATGTTTTTTGAAACACCCTGTATTTAACTTCTATTTATATAGTTTGAAAATGATTTTGGCGTAAATATAGATATTTATTCAATTCATACTATTTTCCCGTTTTTATAAATATCTTGAAACTACGTCAATGACGTTTTCAAATTTTGAATCGAGGATTATATTGAGTCTGTGGTCATACGTTTTAAGATACCGACAAAGCGTACAGAATTCTGTAAACTTTGACATACATATGACATTTTTTACTGGTCATTAATCATTAATATAAAATATTAAGACGTATTTAAAAAAAGTAAACATAACTAACCTTTTTAGGTTTTTTTACTATCCTTTTAACAATTTCACTAACAACATCTTCATCTACATCAACTAATTTACTGGTCCTAACCAAAGGGCACTCATGTCCTTCACTCCTTATTTTTTCGAACACCCTATATATTAAATTCTGTTCTCCTACACTAAACGAACTATTATCGCCAGTTTCTGAACAATAAGTATTAAAACTCCACTTTGTTTGACTCATTTTCAAAATTAAATACGAATAGTACTTTAAAATGGAGTGAAATAAATTGTATAGAAGTGTCTGAATGAAGGCAACGGTAGTACTAATGTTTATTTTACGTGTACGGGATCACATAGACAGGCCCTAGGATCAGGTAAAGCCGTACCTAACGATGTGAAATAGCCCTAAAATACCCTGTAACGATTCATCTTTTAAAACCTTATCTTCCTGGAAGGATAATCACTTATTTAAAGAGGAGTAAGATTGAAATACCTTTGTTTATGCTGGTTCTAAATATATCATTTTTTTACATTTTACATTTTACATTTTTTATTGACATTTTCACTTAGGAAGTGAAAAAAAGAAAACTTTTTAGATCCGCAGGTTAATTTTCCTAAGCTTTACAATGTTGCCACCTGTTTACGTTACCTACACACTGCATATGTGTGTGTTTATAAGTTCACAGTAATTTTAATGAATTAATAAAACTCACCTGATATGCATCTGGAATGTTGACGGGTTCTCCACTTTCTGCGACATAACCTACAATTCCAGTGCCCCAAGGTATTCTAATCTCGTCTTTTTTCTCCATTTCCATTAAAGTACTGCGAGAGCAAACGTCAAACAATTTGGACACCTACAGAATACAATTTTTCGTTAAATATTTAATCAAAAGCATCTCTCATTCAAAACACATCTAATATTGGATGTAGACTATTTTTTTAAATGTCCAATACAAGAAGATATATTTTTAAAATTTCTTTTTTCTAGACTTTCTTGATAGTTTTAGACTTTTGTCCACGACCACTTAATAATAAATCAATATTCTACTTCCTAGCTGAAGGAATATGGTGCCCATATTTCTAATAGAGTGAAATATAATAGCTGATAACAGTGAATTATGAGAAACCACACTTTGCATTTACTTTACATTTGTTGCTACGCCAACGTGACACTCACAACATCCCGATGCGGGGCGTGGATGATTTGACGCTTTTCTTATCTTTTCTTTTTATTAATTTTGACATTTAAAATTGTCAAATGTTAAGTAGGTAGTGATTATTAAGTGGCATATCAAGAACTCGTTTAAAATCAAAAAATGAATTATGAGAGTGACAATGAGTCCTGTACACCACCAGAGATAGCAGAGGCGGCCAAATTAACAAGTCTTGGATTGCTACCACAAAACTCTAAGGATCATTAGATGTCTGTCTATAAAAACTTTCTAGATTAGAGGATTGCTAAAGGCATAAATTCGTTTTCCGAATCCGTGTGATTAGTAGTGATTATACAGATTATAATCTTTGTTTTTTCTTTATTGTTTTTCGTGGTTCCAATTTTCGGAATCGGGCAGTAGTTAGGTGACTAGTTTGCGCACATAGCACGCCCACTTATGACGTCTAAAATTGTGCACAGCGCCTGACCGGCACAGTTATTAGAGAGATATCGGAAAACCGAATAGCGTCATCCAGTATTTACGCGTACCTTATCATGGTTACGATATGCGCGAGTCAATTTTTAACGCAACACCCGCTGATAACGTTACCGCCTGATGTAATTTGCGGATCATACCCCTCAAATATTACCAAGTTATATAATAATATCGCCATATTGTTTTTTCTCATGCTGACATAAATGTGAGAAAATTTTATCCAGTTTGTATGCTAATGGAAATTCTTGCTTTGCTTTATCATCACCATTACAAATGATTAATTCAACGCGAACGAAGTTGCGGGTACATGCTAGTAAGACTTATAAATTATAAAAATATATATTAAGATCCGTCTACAGTAAGACTGTAAAATATTTGGTTATGTAGCGAGTGGTAGATCTCGGTCAAAATTGAAGGAAAATAATGGAATAAGTTTTCACTAGTAAGTGACTATACAGGGTGTTTCATAAAACATATGACGTGGGGAGATATATATTTTTCATATCAACATAGGTCCGATTCTGCTTTGTTTTGTAGCTACATGGTGATAAAGTCTTAATATTTTTTCGAGTTATTATAATTATCTGTTTTTTTTTGAAAAATATTCCAGTGATAACCCATATGCACGTCCCTGATGAATTTATCGACACTTTTTTTAGCATTAAAATATGTAGCACTTTTACCCTCAAAATTTCATTCGAATCGCTAAAAAAACTTGGAAGAAAATTATAAGAAATCGAAAGATTATTAAGACATTAACACCCTGTAGCTACAAAACAAAGCAGAATCAGACCTACATATGTTGATATGAAAGATAAATCTTATTTTTACGTGAGGAATCTCCCCACGAGAGATGGCACATGTTTTTTGAAACACCCTGTATTTAACTTCTATTTATATAGTTTGTAAATGATTTTGGCTTAAATATAGATATTTATTCAATTCATACTATTTTCCCGTTTTTATAAATATCTTGAAACTACGTCAATGACGTTTTCAAATTTTGAAACGAGGATTATATTGAGTCTGTGGTCATACATTTTAAGATACCGACAAAGCGTACAGAATTCTGTAAACTTTGACATACATATGACACTTTTTACTGGTCATTAATCATTAATATAAAATATTAAGACGTATTTAAAAAAAAATAAACATAACTAACCTTTTTAGGTTTTTTTACTATCCTTTTAACAATTTCACTAACAACATTTTCATCTATATCAACTAATTCACTGGTCCTAACCAAAGGGCACTCACGTCCTTCACTCCTTATTTTTTCGTACACCCTATATATTAAGTTCTGTTCTCCCATACTAAATGAACTATTCTCACCAGTTTCTGAACAATAATTATCAAAACTCCACTTTGTTTGACTCATTTTCAAAATTAAATACGAATAGTACTTTAAAATGGAGTGAAATAAATTGTATAGAAGTGTCTGAATGAAGGCAACGGTAGTACTAATGTTTATTTTACGTGTACGGGATCACATAGACAGGCCCTAGGATCAGGTAAAGCCGTACCTAACGATGTGAAATAGCCCTAAAATACCCTGTAACGATTCATCTTTTAAAACCTTATCTTCCTGGAAGGATGATCACTTATTTAGAGAGGAGTAAGATTGAAATGCCTTTGTTTATGCTGGTTCTAAATATATCCTTTTTTACATTTTTTTTACATTTTTTATTGACATTTTCACTTAGGAAGTGAAAAAAAGAAAACTTTTTAGATCCGCAGGTTAATTTTCCTAAGCTTTACAATGTTGCCACCTGTTTACGTTACCTACACACTGCATATGTGTGTGTTTATAAGTTCACAGTAATTTTAATGAATTAATAAAACTCACCTGATATGCATCTGGAATGTTGACGGGTTCTCCACTTTCTGCGACATAACCTACAATTCCAGTGCCCCAAGGTATTCTAATCTCGTCTTTTTTCTCCATTTCCATTAAAGTACTGCGAGAGCAAACGTCAAACAATTTGGACACCTACAGAATACAATTTTTCGTTAAATATTGAATCAAAAGCATCTCTCATTCAAAACAATCTGATATTGATGTAGATAGACTATTTTTGTTCAATACAAAAAAATATATATTTTTAAAATTCCTTTTTAATTTTTTTATTTTTTCTAGGTCTTCTTGATAGTTTAGACTTTTTTGTCTACTTTTCAAATTTACCCGGTATGTACCGGGTGGGTGGCCAACTAAGAATGGACGTCGGCTGTATCTCAGAAACTACTTATCGTATAACTTTGGGAAAAAAATTTTAATAGGTAAATCGACCAAGAGAAATCGCTGGAAATTACTTTCAAGTTCGAAAAATGTCCTAGGGGGCGTTACTCTAATAGCCAATCAGAAAACAGGGTTTTTCTCAAAAATATGCAGGTGAACAGGTATTTTAAATATTACTATTGTAATCATCGATAAATTTGTATTTTTTTTATATAGAGTATTTTGCTCTATCTCATAAAATAAAGTGGTGGGGGAAGGTTAAACTTGCTTTTATTAAAATAAGGATAACTCTGGTTTGGGTTGCGCGATTTAAACAAACTAGGGCTCGTTTAAAAGAGATTTTCTTCCTTAATGATCTCCAGTATAAATTTTGTTTCCACAATTTTTTTCGCGGTAGCTAGAGGGCGCTGTTTGACATCATAACAGATATTGCGCTTTTGCGTAAAAAAAATAAATAGGAGGCTATATTTTTCTTTGCACAGTTAAATAGAGCACAAAATTTCCAAAATATCAGTGTAAACCGCAACTTTCTATCTGCTCTCTAACCGGAGATATTAAGAGAACAAATCATGATAGGCTGCCGCTTAGGATTATATATGATCTAAAAATTATAGTAGTAGGCTAGGAAACAAAAAGAGGTAAATTGGTTACGTCAAAATATCAAAATGTTTAAGTTCAGTTTTCATGCATCCGAATTTCGGGCGTTTTCTTAAAAAAATGACGTCATAATTATTTAAACGTGTTTATGTAACATTATCATCCATCCATATAATTTTTACGAATTTCTTGGTTAATTATACGTAGGTAGATTCAGATTAAAATGTCCGAAAGTCGGAGAATCAATAATTTTATTAAATATTCTAGGAATTTTGTGCCGCCATATTGTTTTTAACAGAAAAAACCGCCGAATTTGGTATGGTCGAAAACTAGGGGTTTATTCATATAACGTCATTTAGTTATTAATCCAAGTTCGTCCTTGATTTCACTTGTTTTCGTGTTTTACCTCTTGTTTGTGTTATTTATTATTATATTATAAAGTTTATGTCGTTTGGGTCACTTTTCATATAGCACCGAACGAAGGTGCGAATCTTAACAATATGCACTACTGCTCCAATTCTGCCCTTGATGCAAGTAGTTTAGCACCAAGACCATTGTTCGGTAAATGTTTACGCAGGAATTCTACGAGGGCGAATGATTGGACTTTTTTAATTATCTGAATGAAATGAACTATCCATAATTTCTAAGAAATGATTTGCCAATTTCGTCAGCATGAATACCATTGGTGTAGTTGAGGCAGTGGTGCCGCTTATTTTGCTATGAATGTGTGGGGCTTCTTGGATACCACTTACTTTAGTAGATAGAGACGCTGGAGCGGCATATTTCCATGGCCAGCTGGCTCATCGGATACAATATGCCTGGGTTTTAATTTATGGGGTTGAATCAAGAACGAAACACGGATAGATAATAATTAAACGGTATTAAAATGAAATTAAAATATATGTTTTGATATTTTGACGTAAATAATTTACCTCTTTTTGTTTCCTAGCCTACTAGTATAATTTTTAGACTATATAATCCTAAGCGGCAGCCTAACATGATTTGTTCTCTAAATATCTCCGGTTAGAGAGAAGATAGAAAGTTGAGGTTTGTGCTGATATTTTGGAAATTTTGTGCTCTATCTGTGTAAAGAGAAATATAGCCTCCTATTTAATTTTTTTACGCAAAAGCGCAATATATGTTATGATGTCAAATAGCGCCCTCTAGCTACCACGAAAAAAATTGTGGAAACAAAATTTATACTGGAGATCATTAAGAAAGAAAAGCTCTTTCCAACGAGCCCTAGTTTGTTTAAATCGCTTAACCCAAACCAGAGTTATCTTTATTTTAATAAAAGCAAGTTTAACCCCCACCACTTTATTTAAAAACAATTTACAAATTTCTCGATGATTACAATAGTAATATTTAAAATACCTGTTCACCTGCATCTTTTTGAAAAAAACCCTGTTTTCTGCTTGGCTATTAGAGAAACGCCCCCTAGCGGACATTTCTCGAACTTGAAAATAATTTCTATCGATTTCTCTTGGTCTATTTACTTGTTAGAATTTTTTTCCCAAAGTTATATGATAAGTAGTTTCTGAGATACAGCCGGCGTCCATTCTTAGTTGGCCACCCGGTATAAATGACAAGGTATTTTATAAAAAATGTAGTTTTTTTCCTAACTTTCTATTTCTCTTTTTCTTTTGTTCTGCTTTTATAATTGATTGATTTATAATTGCATAAACTTACTGAATACTTAATTTTGATTAATTAATACTAATTTAAGATTACAATATTATACAGCATGAGTCTTAAATAAGTGCAAATATCTACAGAGCTGGTAGATCTCGATAAAAAAAAATTCTCTTTACCGTTTTTGAAATAAATCCAAAATAACTTTGGTTATTTTATTTTGAAAATTAAAAAACGTTTTTTGTTTAAACTTTGAGACTGAACGTCTTTGAAATTGGATCTTTCTTGGGTTTTCTATGTCAACTTTTGACATTTTCATATGGTTTATTTGAAATTATAACTTGCGGTTCGTAACGAAAATTTGACTCGAAATACCAAGTGTGTGGTATCAAATTATTCGTAAAAAAATGCTTTTTCCAAATATGCTAATGATCCAACCTCGTTCCATTTGAAAAAATTGAGATATAATTAAAATACGATTTTCGCACTTTCTAACTGGCCAGGACAAGAAACTAAAAACATTAGAGGATGAAATCTATTTTTTCAAGGCACCTTGATTAAGAATTAGTGTTTGTTTTTTAACATAGCCATGACACTCACATTGAATTTTAAAATACGATTTTTTATTAAGCGAGAATGTCAAAAGTTAACATATGATATGTCATTCTATTCAGAATGTCATTTTCTATCGAATAAAATAAAAAAATACCAAGGGTGACATTTAAAAATCAAAAGTTGTAGTCATTTCTGGTAAAACAGAAAGTGACCAAAAACAATTGAATGCGTCAATCAATCCTAATTTATGTCATATACTAACATACCAAATCTCGTTTTTTATCTGAAAAAATAAAAAAGTTATAGGAGTGAGCCACTTTTGAGACGAACTCGGTATACCACTCTACTAAAATATTTGCTTTTATTTAAGTTTCACCCTGTATACAAAAGCAAATTAAAACACATTTTCTACTTACTAGACATCGACTTCTTGGTGTGCCACTGGTACCGTTCTGGTGGTGGGGTGAACATCCCCCGCCCCTTTCCCTTTCCCCTTGAACCAGAAAGAGGCTCCCCCTATCGGCGTGGAGAAGCATAGAAACGTTTTGAAGGATCTTGTGACATAGAGATCTGACCTCTAGTTCGTTACATATATCTTTTACCTGGAACAAAAACTTTAATATTAGTACACCATGTATAGTAATATTGCACAAAACAGATCATAAAAATACACTCAGAACAGCCAAAAAATTCCACAAAAAAAATTAAATCAAATTCAAAATGGTGTTTCATTAGGTCTACTTATTAATCTAAGTGTATTTAACAAATTTAATAATTATAACACCATTACTCTGCATAATTATGTTTAGATACATATATATTTACATTATCTTGTCATTCTCTATAATGATAAAAGATAAAAACATATCATTACCCTGTGATTAATAGAATTCACTAACTAAAACTTTTCAAAATATTTATATTTTTATGTTTACTTATGTATATTTCCAGAAAAAAAAGATATGCATTCAAAACTAACCGAAGCATTTAAATATGTAGGTCAAAGTAAAAATCTATATTTTAGGAAAAGTCAGATAAACAACTCTTCTTCATATCTTTATTTAATATACATAATAAAAAATAGCTACTTTCAAGATCACTCTATCAGGATATTTTATCAGGATTTGTCAATTATTATTCTATCGTCTCTCCTGACAGTATTGAGCGTTCTAAGGTACTTAAAAGAGCAATTTAGTGCTTAATTGGCCAATGATACACCCACGCTCGAGATATCTTTAGAAAATGATGGAGTGGAATAAAGAGACGAAGTTTTCTGATATTAGATAGAGCTTCTTAACCTTAAGTAAATTAAATTTCTTCCCGAGTCGGTGAATTGTTGATGGCTCAACTATGTTGTCGATATCGACTTCCTAAATGATGTCGTCAATGTCTACATCTAATAATTTGATCCAAAAATTATATCTATATTTAAAGTAAACACGATATACACTTAGAAGCACAGAATAAATAGTTATATTTTTATACAAGACGATAAAATAGTATTTTATACCGATAAGACGATAATGCAATTTTATCGTCGTGTATAAAACAATATTTCTTTCCATAGCGAGTTACGTTTTAAAAAATATTCAGAAATTATTATTTCAAGGAATTTATTATGAGTAGAAAAAATATTGTGCTGGGTTGGCGTTGGTTTCTATGTAATTTGACAAATAAATAAAGCTGTCTCTTTAGTTGTCAGTTTTGAGTCAATATTTTTTAATTCTCTTTCAAGTCGATTGCTGATTGAATTGGAGCCAGAAATGGCTCAAAACGAAATAAGTAAATTACCAACAGATATTCAGGCTGAGGCGACAAACGCCATATCCAAACTACTTCCACTTAAATCCCGAATAACTTATGAAAAGGAATACAAAAATTTTCAAAAATGGAAGCAATTAAAAAACGCGCGAGAAGAAATAAAGTTTTTAACCTATCCTCGCTGTTAAAGTCTCATTTAATCTGCGCTTGAGGTTAAAGTACTATTTTATCTACTATTTTTGATAGATATAAGGCAATTAAGAAGAGTTGCTATGGAAAAAAAATATTAAAACATAGAATAAACATGCTCAGTTAAGCATGAGATATAATAAAATGATTTTCCACTTCGCTGAGTGACTTGGATGCTGAATCAGAGTCAGAAATGTCAGAATCAAGATTCCTTTTAGTATTCTTACTTTGGAGAGTTAAATATAGGTGGAACAACATTTTTGAGTGTTCAAATGACAGTCGAAGAAGTGTGTGTATCCCCAATTTGCGAAAAATCGCCAAGTCAAGTAATAAAGGCTTGTTTACCTCTTTTTAAAAAGTGTTGAAAATTATACGTGAAAAAAAAGTTAGTACTCATTTTAACAGGAAGAATAATACAAAATACTAAGTAGTACTACTGATATATTTCAGAATTTTAATCAATCTTTTGTATTAATCCACTCCAATGACTAAAGAATCCAAGGACAAATAACACCCGAGAGCAAATTGTGACGATGTCACCAAACAATGCCGTGGGACATATTTTTCTTAACCTAGCTGTTTGAAGAGAACGTAACTCCTGGCTCTTTCTTATCGCTGCGGCTTTCACACTTGAAAGCTGAACAACTAATCACCATTGTAATAAAGTTTATACAAAGTTCACTACACACAAACTATTAAAAATCGCTAAAATTGTCGCTGGTGGCCAGCTGATGACTCATTCGTTGACATCAAAAAAATTACGTCTAATGTCACAGATTCTGCTGCAGCCTGTATATAAGCGTTACATATCCTTATATTTTTTATAATATCATTGAATCACTCCAAGAACAGTTAACCTAATAGGACTACTTATTCAGCCAAAAGTGTCCGCCAGGTGCATGCGAAAACTACTCGCTTTGTGACGTCATTGTAGCCCTTGTCATGGTTATTAGTCCTTATCCGGCAACCAATAATACACACACGTGCATTATTGGTTACCGAATGCAAAACGTTCATTATTTAGTTTATTTATTTAAACACCTTATATGTATGCAGTATAGAAAATTAACTGTATAAATCGTATTAAATACTCGGATAATGCATTTTTAAGAACAGCAGTTCCCAGCATCACCTTTTGCAAGCATTCTTTTTAGAGTACCTCCATATTTTGCTTTAAAATAATTAATAAACAAAATCGTGGGCACTTAGTATGCACTTTGTCACAATCCACAACACAAAATGAACGTATTTATACACTCTATAGTTCTAAAAACGTTTACCATAGGCAACTAATAATACACACTGTCATGACAAGGCCACGAAGGCTTTGACAAGGGCTACAATGACGTCACAACTGTCAGCTGAAGCGCGGGAAGAGGCGAACGTACGTCTTATGAAGATGAGCAATCCTATTAGTTTACCGTTCTTGGAATCACTCCCTCTTCTAATGACAAGCCTAACCTCAAACTTAAGCCTAACCTCAAACCTGTGACAAGTGACAATCTAGACATTATCGACGTATTTTTGACGTGTCGAAGTCAACAATAAAAGGCCAACTCTGTTTTCTTCATCACAACATATAATATACCAGCTGTTTCAAATTTATTTTGTTTAATGCTTTTAAAAACCCGTTTCTCTGTAATTTATGGTTACCAGGTGTCCCCCAATATTTTGAATAAGCACGTCTAGTTCAAAATTATTAGAGAATCGTGAGAATGAAGACCACTTTCGTCGAAATTAGGTGGATCGTGGATTTAATTAACTTGTTTTAAGTCATAAAACTTGTTAGGTTGAAACCATACCATAGTGTATTTATTAAGTCTCAAATTCACAATGAATATTATAGTAATATGTTGAAAAGAAAAGATTATTTCATCTGATACAGGCAACAACTTTAATATAGAAGTTTTAATAAAACTATATTAGAAAAGAATAACAGATGTTCTTCTTGTAACAAATGTTCAAGAAGTCCACTACAGAACATATTGATTTCTGTGGCTTTATATTAAATTCAAAGAGAAACGTATAAATTATTTGTAGAATTTTCTTAAACACTTTTCTGACTTATTTTGCTCAATCGGCACATTTGTCTTGATTTGAACCAGGCGAAGACCGGTAAATTACGGTAAAGAGCGGTTCCTGAAAAACATCGGTTTGATACAGAACGGTTTGGTAAAATATTGCAAACGTCAAATGTTGACGTTTTCTAAATTTCAATATCCCTATTATAAAATTTTTATACATTTTTAATGTACCTATTCTCTGCTTTTACGTTTACTTCTTTTCAATGGAGTTTAATATTGAAAAGTACTTTACTAATAAACTGTTAAACTCTTTAGACAGCTCAAGTGAAGATTTGCAGGTCCAATATTAAAACAGATCAATAATAAATAAATAAATCTAATCAATATTTATATTTTTATAGCTTACTTTGGCAGCATATGTAAGTTAATTGAAAGTATTTTATAAAAATATATAGAATTATACAGGGTGTCTCCAAAAAAAGTTACACATTAAAGTTGTGTTTTTTCCATAGATTTAGGAAGAACAGATATCACATTATGCATTTTAACCCGATCAAACATTCGGAGGTTGACTACGCACTGTAAAAACCAACTGAGATAGAGAAGGCGACATTGCCACATATCAAATTTGCGCCTATCTACTTAGTTTGATTTGCAGAAAAGGTTACTTTAAAACCTTCACCGGATATCAATAAATCTCAATTTCTTAATTAAATTAATAGTTTATTCTTAAAGAAGCATGCGTAATAATATGGTTATTAACCAGAGGATATATGCGTTACTATTAAAGGACGTGTTTACTGTTTAATGTGCTGAAACGTCTAGAACTATTGGCAACGTCGCTGCTAGTCTTCAAGAATGAAATGAGCCGTCCGTCCTACCACCCCTCGCGACGGCCCATGGTCCGTTATAGCGTACTACGTTTAGCTTACGGTGTGTTTGAAGTCGGAATCAAGTCCAAAGTGAACTTTTCAGTGTTTTTCAGTAGTTTTTGTTTTTGTTTAACGTACTTTTGAATCTGCGAATTTTCAATATGGTAGGACAGTGTCAAATGTGTGGACAAATAAGCTCAAATTACCCGAATTTGGCTTTCCACAGGTAGGTATTGTTTCCGCCGCGCCGTAATCGTACATAGGCGTCCCACAAGGGAGCCTTTCACAATTAAAATAATTTCTAATTATATGTGTTGAATTTTGATCTACTAAAACATTCACGATTACTTGTTGTCTTGTTTTTCATTTTTTCTTTAAATGTTCCTGACTTTAAGAAACAATGGCTGCATAAGTTTAACTAGTCCTAAAAAGTCATTCTATGTAGTCAATGAAATTTATTTACCTTTACTGCCTACCTCCATTGCTTTTGGATGTAAATTCAAAATATTAATACAAATTTTAGAAATTAAATGAGAATTTCACTCGAACTTCCAATATTTGCTTGATTTATGTCACATAAATGACATTGATTGACAAACAAATCCAGAAAAACCAGCCTTCTCGCGCTGGTTAGGTACCAAACCAGTTATAACCGAATTTTTCAGGAACCGTGTTCAGTAATAAGAAAACTTTCAGGAAACCGATAGAAACGGAACATAAAACCATAACCAAGGTAAGCAACGAATTAGTTGCCAAAAATCGAGGTAAATAAAAGAGTAATTTTCACTGGTAAATAGCTATATAATACACGGTTACGTGTAGTAAACCACTCAGCTACAAAATTTACTTAGAATTAACTAATTACATATTTTTCTTACATTTTTTTGTTATAATATTATCTAAAAATTCTATATTTTGTGAATACTTACCAACTCAAAAATGAGTTCTTTTTCGTCTAATTGCCTTAACTCATGCCTACTCCTTCTGTGCCTCCTACTGGGCGTTGGACTAGATGTGGTCATAGTACCACTAACATCTTCTGTTGTACTTGTCAGAAAGGTTGGTTGTCCATCAACCTGTCAACAGAAAAAATAATTTGTTTTCAAAAAATTTTAGAACAAAAAAACTTTGCAGTAATGTACTAATAAAAATAATACTGATATTGATGGCTACATATTAATATAGAAATAACAACGAAAAAATGTATACTAAAAATACATTTGATATATTTTTAAGATTCTTTCTTTCGTATTTAGCCAGAGAAATATAAATCTCCAGAGAATATGAAAGGAAATGTATAAAAATATCCTAAAAGTTTATAAGCTTAAGCCTGGGATTATTGAGAAACATTTTTAAGATGGCCAACAAATATATTTCTGTAACTTAAACAAGTCTGCTATTTTTTGCTTTTTAGGTATTTTTGTTACTTAGCATTGATTATTTTAAATTTTTTGGTAATTACTGAACATATAGAAATAATAACGAGAATAAAAAAAGATTCTCGGTTGTAATGTTGGTAAATCAAACAGTTTCTGTTGTCTTTGATATAGGTTTATAAATAAAAAAAGCGAGACCGTTTATACAATTCAGTAAATTCAGACTTTTTTTTCGAAGCTGTTCCAAAAGAAGGAAAGATTATTCTTTATCAAAAAGGGCTAAAGTAAGGCTATAACAGATCGTTTTTTGGGGCTAATAAATATTAGCCTGGTTTAACTGATATTGGGGGAGATAGATACGATTGATAAATGAAGAAGAATGGAAGAAGAAAATGTGCTGGCAAAATAGAAAAATATTTTTTTATAGATATTGGGAAATTTAGAGTGAAAATGGTCTATCTCTGGAAATAACTTTGATACATATAGTAAATAAACGAATTACTAAATTGAGAAAAAAATGTTTTAGTTATTTTTTAAAAATGTTTAGCCTTCCCTACCACTGTATTTTTGATTATACCTAAGGGATTGTTAATTACCAACTGTGATTTTTGGTAATTGTTATTTTCAGAAGCAAAAATAATAAAATCTGTTATATCAATAACAGTTCTAACATAAGATATTGTTAAATACCGACTGTTCTATTTCGTAACTGTTATTTTAAGGAGCAACAACAGTTGAAACTGTTATTTATTTATGTTATAACAGTAGGATTATAACTATTGTAGTAGTGGCCAACTTTTTCAAACTTGAAAATACTATATAAATATTTCTTTTTGAGTTCTGTCATTAACGGTTCCTGAGTTACAATCGACGTCCTCTACTATACCACCCTGTACAGGGTGGGTCAAATTGGACGCTTTTAAAGGGAAACACCCTTTTCTGTAGGAGAGAGACGAAAACTAATATCGGTGTCTGGAGCTCAATTTATATCAAAAACATGATGGTGAAAACCGCACATCGATATGTGTCACCGTTTCGGGGTTAAGGGGCGTTTTTCAAAAATGTGCATTTTTAACAAATCGCTGTAACTTTTTTGCTATGGAAATTTTTTTATTTCTATGGAAATATTTTCAAAGCAGCTTTTTACGTAGAATTTAATGGTTTAAGTACATATTTTTTTAAATTAATAACTTAAGAGTTATCAACAGAAAACATGATTTTTTATTAGGGACACTCGTATATTTTTAATAAACTGAAAAAATATATATCTCGAAGAGGAATCGAGCAAAATATCAAGTATGCTATATTTTTGGAAAGGTAATTTTAAATTATTTTCAATGAATTAAAAATATATAGGGTGTCCCATATAAAAAATCAAAGTGTCTGTTGATAATTCTTAAATTATTAATTTTAAAAATATTATACTTAAACCATTAAATTCTACCTAAAAAGGTGCTTTGGAAATTTTGGAAATGTTTTTATAAAAATACAAAATTGTCCATAGCAAAAAAGTTACAGCGATTTGTTAAAAATGCACATTTTTTGAAAACACCCCGTAACTCCGAAACGGTAACAGATATCGATGTGCTGTTTTCACCATCATGTTTTTGATAAAAATTGAGCTCCAGACACCAATATTAGTTTTTGTCTACCTCCTATGCCTCCTATAGAAAAGGGTGATTCCCTTTAAAAGCGTCCAATTTGGCCCACCCTGTACAAATAAACGAACAAAAAAAAAGAAAAAAATATAGAAAAATAAAATAAAAAAAATAATGTAGCAAATATAGAAATAAAAGAACCAAAAAAAGTATGGTTTACTTACGTACCGTGCTGATCATGGGTTTAAGCAATCCACCCCGTTCGAACTCGTGCGCGGATATTTTCCGTACGGGCGTCGTGGCCCCCGAGCCGCCCCTGGACGACCCCCCTGGTAGTCCGTGGGTGGGGGAGGCCAGTTCGACGCTGGACGAGGCGGGAGTGGCGTGGGACACCAGCCAGGAGTCCACAACTTGGCGCGTGGCCTTCCTGGAAAAGAACAAAGTGGAATTAGGGCAATAACTACTTTGACTGTTATTTCTCAATAACAGTTTGCAACAACTGTTATATCTTTTTAAAATAACAGTAACGAAAAAAAGAGTTCGTATTTTTAATATATTGTGTTATATCTGTTATTTATAAATAACAATTTTCAACTGTTGTTGCTTCAAAAAAATAACAGTTGCTATTTAACCATATCCGAGGGGTGTCTCACTCGGGTAAAAAATGTACACGTACTGCCAAAATATCCTTCCACTGCTAAGCGACTCCCAACGTCTATGAAGAAGACTGCCTATGACTGCCATGTGATTATTATAGGTGACTGCCATAAGACTGCCAAAAGACTGCCAATGACTGCCAGAGACTGTCAAGAAAATGTACATGTAATTCCAATCGTGAGACACCCCTCGACCATATCTTATGTTAGAACTGTTATTTATAAATAATAGATTTTACTATTGATTTATTGATTATTATTTATTGAGGTATTGTTTCTTGATATAAAAGTTAAAAATTATCAGTTTGTAACTGCTATTGCTCAACTGTGATTTTAAAATATCAATTTCAACTGTTGTGGCTTCTTAAAATAACAATTACGAAAAAGAATAGTTGGTATTTAACAATATGTTATGTTAGAACTGTTAATTATAAATGACAGTAGTTTTCAACTGCCCTGGCTACTTAAAATAACAGTTACGACAAATAAGTGTTGAATTTTACAATACATTATAGTAGAACTGTTATTTATAAATAACATATTTCACACTATTATTGCTTCTTAAAATAACAGTTACAAACATAGCAGTGGGTGATTAAAAATTCAATAAGCTAACTGGTCTTTGTATAATGTTATAAACATCAGTTTGTAACATATTTAATAATCTTTGAAGTTACAACTGTAATTTATAAATAAGTCTTCTCTATTATTGCTTCTTAAAATGATAGTTGTTAAAATAACTGTTAAATAAATTTCATTGTAACTGCCTCCCAAAATAACACTTAAAAAATAACAGTTGATATATAACAAGCTCTTAGGTTTCAATAACAGTTAGAAAATATGATATTATTTCTTAACATAACAGTTAACACACTGAATATATTTACCAATTTCTTAGGTTAGAAATATAACCTAAAAATATCAAATTTCACTGTTATTGCTTCTTAAATTAACAGTTACAAAAATAACAGTTTGTACCTAAAAATTTGTTATGTTGCAACAGTTATTTATAAATAAGAGATTTCACTATTATTTCTTCGGAAAATAACAGTTACAAAATTAACAGTTGGTACATATTACATCTCCTAAATTAGAACTGTTTTTTTAAAGTTACTTCTTAAAAATAACAGTTACGAAAAAAATACAGTTTAATATAGTTGTTTTTAATAACAACTTGTAAGTGTTATTGCTTTCAAAAAATTACAGTAAGAAAAATAACAGTGCGCAACATGTCGTAATTCAGAAAACAAAGACAAGATGGAATAACAGTTTTATTTGATTTTCTACCTTGTTTCAAGTGAAAGAATCGCAGTGATTAATTCTGAGGGCTTCTTCGAGTTTACAAATCAATCAAACAAGAACGCCGCCAAAGAAAGTTTCGCGCTCGAAGTAGATTTATCAAAAAATGCGTCAAATATTCATTGCGAAGGCGACGGCTATGAAAAATGCGATGAATAATGCTCGATAGAAACAAGATTCGATCTGGCTTAATTTACTTCGTTATCTTGCCGTTCCGTTCGCCCAAACTCGAACAAAAAACCTCATTTCGACGATGGCTTTCAGACCCTTTTTTCACTCTGGGCCTCTAATACATCACGCCTTTGCCAAATTAGCATTTTTCAGCGAATAAAATATTTATAAGTGGCTTTGTGGTACGCGCCACTGTTTTTTACTTTATTTGCAACACATTGAAACATAAACAAGTACATAAAATGATAGAGGTATTTTTAAAAAGTTATACATTGTGTACTGGAGGTGGGCAAAGATTGAACGAGTCGTTCATTTGAACGAGTATAAAATTAAACCTTTGTGATTCTGCTCAATATGATAAAAAAGGGCGTGAGCGATGGTTATAAAATGAAGATCGCTGTCATTTTATATGTAAAATTATGCGAGGAATGTCATCGATGTTCATTTCCAAGCCAAGTCGACGCCTTTTTTTTTCGATCATGCGGTATTATATATTATTTATTATGATTATTAAATCGGAATTAAAATATGACTCTAAAAATATTAAATTGGTATTATAAGAAGTCTTTAATAAATATTATGAATAATTGGGTTGCTAATTTAATATTATTTGTAAAATAATCAATCCAATTCCGCTAGTGTCATAAAGTGTTGAAAAACAAATAAAACAACTGTATATTTCTTTTTCTGGTCCCGTAAGTAATTGTCCGACCAAATTATCGCCGGTAGTGCCAGTTACGATTCTTGTTTTTATGAAACGTAAATTGTGCATGCGGTTCGTTCAAATGAACGAATCGTAGGAGTCGATTCAATATGAGAAATTGAATGGTGTGGTTCGATTCACTAAAAAGAATCGTAATTCCCATCACTATTGTGTACTAGAGCCAGTTTGCTTTAGAAATACGAATAAGATTCTATCTGCTTCGTATGAAGTTAGATTCAAAGAGAGTTCCTAGAGAGACAAATACGACTTTGGAAGACATTATCCAGCTGAAATTCCAGAATGTTTCTGGATGGAACTCTAAACGATCTCTTTTTCCGATAATGGCGCGACAAATTACCAAGAAAAATTGATATTTTGCACCAGCATTATTACGTTTCCTCTCTTTAAAGAAGTTCGTTGTTATTTACAGAAAAAAAACAACGCCTTTAAGCTTATTTCCACTTATAAAGACATTTCAGGGATACGTTCTTGAGTTACAAATATGTAGAGATGTTTATATTTAAAAAAAATATAGATCTTTTAAGAAATAATGTGTGTAATTGGAGTAACATTGCCTTTTTTTTTAAACTGACACAACGTTGCGGGCTTCAGTATTTGCAATAAAATAGCGAGTAATTTGTTACAAAACCATATAAATTATATATCACTGTAATCACAAAACTTCAATCTATTTCCGTATTGTGACGGAATTTTAAATTATGTCTTTATTTTCGAGAAAATTTAGTCCAAGCATAATATCTATAAGGAATATTTTTGTTGATGTTTGATCAAAGCCTTAAAAATAAAGAAGTTGTCTAAAAATGTGTTACCAATACGGATATACTCTAATCCTTAATCTTTAATTTCCTTCTTTATTTGTGGTAAAAATACCTAGCCAGTTGTACATAAAACGTTAAATGCCGAACGCTTATTTTGCTACTTTTTCGAACTAAAGAAATGGACTCTTAAAGTATAAGATTAATAACGCCATAGAGAACTGAATAAGTACCTGAGAAAATAGTCCTGGACGAAATCCGGGTGCTCGTCGAGCCACGCCTCCATCCGGGCATATTCCGGATCGTACTGGTTGGTTCCGGTTGAGCTGCGTACGAACCCATCGTTCACGGGCATGCGCGCCTCGCCCGTTTCTCCGCTTCCGCCACTGCGCAGTTGTAAACCTGGAACAGAAGGAAAACAGCGTGTTAAGGCCTGAAACCACCAGTTTTTACTTTTTATTTCCTGCTATAAACAGTAATTAACATCTTATCGAATAGCTGAGTAATCTTAACCTTAATAAACCGAACAATTATTTCTAAACTATAATCCTCTATAGTCCTCATTGCATGATAAATCCTCCTAATCTGTACTATAATTAAAAAAAACAGAAGGAAGGACATAATATGGTGAGTACAAATACAGATTACACATTACAGAGATGATTTGAATGCACACTAATAGAATCATATCAATTCTCTCTGATGTAGGATAAGTTTGCATTTTCGGCAAATTTCTGAATTTTTGTTTTGTTTTAACTGACACAAAATGATAACTAGTTGTTAAAATTGGATTAATTAGACAGCTATGTTGAAGTAACTTCAGACATATCACAGTCACCTAGATTTTATCAAATAATAAAGATCTACTCAGATCAAGTCATGTAAATGAAAATATCGAGGAAAATCTTTGTTTGAGGGGTAGGCAACCTTAATAGTATTTTGAAGTGACATAAATTCTCTATTGAATATCGGAATAATATACTGGGTGTTCCATATAAAATAAGAGAGTAACATGCTTTTAAATGTGACCAATGTTCAATATTAATTTTGTCTCACCCTGTATAACTTTTTGGATCAAGTTTTAATTTGATTTAAAGTACAATAGTTAATTTAACTACATATTGGGCTATACCGGGTAAATTCCAATTTAGGTAGCTTTTATTGTAATTTAAAAATTGTTCGTTATTTCTAGAAAATGACAAATATGTCAAAAACCTTACATTTTAGTCATATACTTCTCTTATAAAACTCACCTTTATTTTTCTTCCAGAATCCGAAAATCAATTAATATATAGAATGTTCCATTACAAAAAACACAACTTTGATATGTAACTTTGTTTGGGAACACCCTGTAGAATTCTCTATATTTTTAAAATGTGCTCTGAATTAACCTACATATGCTCAAAAAATTTCATTTCAATACAAACTGTCGTTCTCCTTGGAGCCTCCGCGGCGCATGAGAGGATTTTCATTTTCTTTTGAAAGGGACTGAGAACAAGTGTGAAATATCATCGGCGTCACGAACAGATATTTATCATTGCTTTCCCCAAACGCTGTATATACATTTATACCCGTTTTGTAAAGGATATCCTTTTGAAGAAAACGAACACCCATTAGTAATAAATTCTGCATTTGTAAAATTTTTCCATTCATACCCGTCCGGCAGTTTCATTCAGAAAATCCGCCCATACTCGAATAAATTTGCATTAATTGCTTAAATACATAACTCATACGGTGTATAGGTGTAAGACATGGCTAGGATCGTGTCGGTTTCGTTCTTTCGTTCGGATGTAAACGCCTACGACGACCGACCGCCTGCATTTCGTTTCTTTCCTCTTTTTTTCGATGGTTAGGCTTGATAATCCGACTCTGTGGTGCACAATGACACCGGCGACAAGAGAAAATGGCTATTGGCCTGTTCCACTGCGACCTTTACAGATCTGTTGTGATCCTGTTTTTATCTGTAGATTACGTTCTTCGGTCGTATCCAAAAAATTTAATAAGTTGGAGACTCGTCCTTCAATATATAATACATACATACATATACATACTCTTTACTTTTTGGTTGTCGTGGTTAACTGAGTTTACAATTATTCTTCTCCATTGAGTTCCCATTGTGAACTGAAAAGCTCGGTAGCTAAGTCTCAACCTACCACACTCCCGGACGACAAAATCTCTTTACTTTTTGGTTTGTCGTGATTAACCCCTGAGTTCAATTATTCTTCTCCATTTAGGTTCTAATAGCGAACTGCCACCTGTTCCCCTCATTCTGCATGTTAATCCCCTTTAAGTTTTCGTGAAAAATGTCCTTGTACCTTTGGAGTTGTCCACCAGGCCTTCTCTTACCGTCTACAAGAACAAATCGTTCTGTGGCTATCTTCACAGACAGCCAAGCGGCGCTAAAGCGCCTCAGCTCCGCGGAGGTCAATTTGAACTAGTGTGGGACTGTGTGCGTGCTCCTACAGATACTTTGGGCGAACGTAGCACTGTTACGTTGGCCTGGGTGCTGAGGCACGAGGGTCACATGGATAAAAAGAAGTCATTAGAGATGGCCACGGAATTACCATGGGTGGCCCAACAAAGCCTTCTAGACGGTCACGAGTGGCCACGGGACGAAGTCACCCAGGGCGAGAGACAGGTGAGACAAAGGGTTCATTTGTAGAACATTCGCCAAATTCACAGTAGACTTGATAGAAGCGGGACAGAAGAAGACAGTCAAAGCTGTAGTGGGTGCTACTAACAGGGCATTGTAAGTTAAATAGGCATCTAGATGATGGGATTGACAGACGAAAGCTATGTGTAGGTTCTGCCAATCTGAAGAAGAAACGTCAGAACACATTTTATGTCGGCGTTGACAGCCCAATAATGTGCGGTCCTCTCGGTAATAGGCAATGATAGGCCATTGCCAAGGAGCTACATGGAGGGTTCAGTCTCCAAGTTGCTAAACTTTGTGAAAAGGATAGGACTGGAGAATGTAATCTAAGGATCAGAAGAGGACCACAATAGATCTGAGAAGGTCGCAGTGGATCAGGCCGAAAGCCACCTCTAAAAATCTAATCTAATCTACCGTCTACAAGCTCACCGTAAAGCAGAGATTTTGGTATGCGGTTTTCTTGCATTCTGCATACGTGACCAGCATATCTTAAGCGGAATTTTGTAACCATGACTTCAATACTCTCGCAGTTAGCTTTTTCAAGGACCGATACGCTGGAGACATAATGGAACCACCGGATTCTTAAGAGTTGTCTAAGGTGTCTCTGTTGCAACTTGTTTAATGCGTTCATGTGTCGGCGGTACGGCACCCAGGTTTCGCTTCCATATAACATGGTGGCGATTATTATTGCCCAGTAAAGCAGAGATTTTGGTATGCAGTTTTCTTGCATTCTGCAAGAGCGTGACCAATACATCTTAAGCCAGGATATTATAATCATGACTTCCGATCGCAGTTAAGCTTTTCAAGGACCGATACGTTTGAAGTTGTAGTGGAACCACCGAATTCTTAAGAGTTGTCTAAGGTGTCTCTGTTGCAGCTTATTTTAAATGCGTTCATGTCGGCGTTACGGCACCAGGTTTTGCTTCCATACTGTAACATGGTGGGGATTATTGCACCGGTACTTGTCGATACACTGCAAGTTTGATTTTTTGTGCTCAAAGTCATGATGGTAGAAAACCCTGTCTTTAATTTCCAGAATGTTCTTGAGGCGCTGCTAATCCTGTGCTGAATTTCAGAGTCGATATTGGCCTTTTCCGAAATCAAACTGCCGAGGTAATTGAATTCCGCCACATATTCCAATAGTTCTTCTCCGATTTTTATAGCATTGTTGTTATCTTCCGGGGGAGTGCACATGATTTTGGTTTTGTCGATGTTTAGCTTAAGGCCCAAAGCCTCGTATGCCCAGGTATATGTGTTCAACATTTCTTGTAGTTGTTGTAACGTGTTTGCAACTAGAGCGCTCCTTCCATATAGCTCTTTACCAATGGCTTATCATAGTCTTGTACTTACCGCACCTTTGCCAGGCTATCGCACTGACGCATGACGTCGTTTTTTCTACTGATTGAGACAGGAACTGTACATGGTTTCATCTGTCAATCCCCATCAACTTTAAATGCCTAATGAGCTTGCAATACTTTGCTAGGAGAGTAGACAGTAGACCCAATAAAGTTTTCACAGTTTTGCTGTGTTTACCGGAGAGATGGTTTACCATACCTTAACTACCGATTTGGGTGTCTTTGCTGATTGCGCTAAGCGATTTGAAAACGGCAACCTTAGAGGATCGTTTTGCTTGTCGAACTGTCAGTAAAAATAGAAAAAATTGTGAGTTTGTTCGTTCTCTTGCTTTTTAGTAAAAACTACTTCTTCTTCTTCTATAAATTCCTCAAAAGAAATTGATAATTTACGACTTGGCAGATATAAATGTTGTTCAAAACATCGAAAATGCTAAGAAGCGACTAGAAAAATAGGTTGACATAAGTCATAACTAAACAATAGGTTATGAAATTCACGTAACATTGACATTTTTCATTGTTTTTAGTTCTTTTCTTTGGTGCTTTTATTTTTGCTGCAAGACTTTAGCAATTAAGACAATGTCATCAACGAATCTTACATGGTTAAGATATTTTCCATCTACTTTCAATTCTTTGTTGGTTATATACTGTATAGTATTATATTATATCTGGCCTATAAAATAACATTTTAGCAACATCTTGCATTAAATAACAATAAATTAAAAATTCACTGCGAAGTTTATTTCAAATTAAATCAAAATGTTCATTCATTTCTTGTTCTTTTTTCTTAAGAGTGGATGGAGTGGATGGGAATAAGACATTTATACGAAACCAGAATATTAAAATAAAAAAAGCTCGCCGAAATCTATTAAAAATTAAATCAAGTTTTTCATTGATTTTATTTTTTTCGAAATAATATTAAGACATAAATAAAAACAGGACCAATAAAATAAAACTGCTTTTTTCCTAAACATTATTCAACACCTATTTATGGCACAAGGCAATTCCGCCACATAATAGAGCGGTTTATTGACGAAATTAAATTATTATTCCCCTTGCATCTGGCAGCATTAAATAATATGGCGACCGTGTACGGCTTTAGTGAGCAATATTTTTTTCTTAACGGCTCTAGGAAATGTATTGGTGACCACCCACACTCTATGGGTGAGTGAATTGATGGTGTGTCGATTTTTATTAAATCAATAGCTATTATGTAATGTAAATATTGTGAACAAAACGATTATTGTGCCAATTAATAAACAGGAAATTGTGGTCATAATTCTTCAATTTAAATGAGCCAGTTATGTTGAGGATTAAATATATGCAAAAATATATTTTATATATATATTTATTTTATGTACTATCAAGAGAATTATAAGCAGGGTGCAAAAAAACTTGTTTTTTTTTAAAAAATAAAAAAAATTGGCGCCGGGAGGCACGTATAGCCGCCCATACTTGATATTTTTTTTATCTCAAAAACTGCGACTTTGACTGATTTTGATGTTATTACAAATTTTGTTGCAAATATTATTCCTAATCTTAAATTGAAAACCGCGTTTCGCTAGCTACTGTAATTATGGAGTTACGATTTTTTAAAAATTTTAGCCCCCTCCCATACCCCCTTACCAACCCCCCACCCCCACCAGAAACTAATGGCCAGATTCTCGGGTGCCACAGTATTTGTGTGCCAAATTTGGTTAAAATCAGTTTAGCGGTTTTTGAGTTATCGTGTTACAGACGGACAGACAGACAGACAGGCGGACAGACGGACAGACAGACACCATAAAAATATTTTGTATTTAGGTCATTTATGATCCAAATAAATCATTTTGAGTGAAATTAAAAAAACTTTTTTTTGTCGATCTTAATAGCCTACCATACCTATTGGGTATAGTAGGGTATACATACTACACTACATTACACATACTACACTACATACTACACATACTACACTACATCATAACCAATGAAAAAAAGTAATATAATAATTCATACATTACAGAAAAAAAAACAATACTAATTTCATTAGCACAAATGACATAAATGACTATATGAAAAAATTAAAATTATAGGAACACGTCAAACAAAATTGCCAGCACGTCATCAGAGATTAACCACGTCAATATTTGCAATATCGTCCTACTTGTCAAATGTATCAAAATTATTGAAAAATGATACCGTTATACGTGTTAATTGTTGTAATCGCATTGCCATTTGCGTAAATAAGAATATCATTGAACTCTTTTAATTATTAATGTAATATATTTTAAGTTTTTAAAAATAATTAAAAATATCCAACAAATATTTTTGTTTATTTTGAATATAAATTGGAAATTTACAGTCAAAAATAACACTAACAAATGACGATAGCTTTTATAGTTAATTTTTTTCTAATGACTAGTAACATTTAGTTCGTTTGCAGAACAGATAATAAAATTAATTGGAATCGTAGTCTTAAATAATATTATCCTTCGAAATTATGAGATACAGCTAGAGATGACGCCAAAAAATACACAATAATTAGAATAGTTTAATGTTAGAATTTAAACCAAGTTTCGATAATTAATTTTAGTATACTTTCTCCTATACTATTGTACGTTAGTTTATAACGACAACAAATCAAGCAAGCCATGGACAAGATAATACGTCGTTGAAGCTCTCTAAATAATCGGGATATGGAATTGTCAAACCAGGCATTAAATTTGCCGATGATTTTATAAACAATTACCGAATGTAGGCAGTATAAATTGCTTGGTTATCGTCGATGGCATGTGAAATTTGATGGGTAAACTCTATTTAATATCCGATGGATAGATATGAGATAATTGGAATAAATTTACGAGTAGAAAGAGACAGAATGTACAATATATTGGAAAAATAAATGATTTTTCCAGTTACTTACTCAAGATATATTATTTCTTATAAAAAGTTTTTGAAGCATCAAAAAATTTCGCGAATTATACCTTATATATACTTTGTAGTCGCCAAAAATACGTTCTACTAGTAAAATGAGAGTTGTCGCACTTAATTCTAGTCGTAGTTCAAAAGCATCAAATATTTTCGACGCATCAAAAAATTTGGTAGTATCAAAAATGGTGAAAAACAGTTTTTAATGAGTTATTTTTTTCCTAGCAACAGAATACTTAGTAAGAAAATATTATCAAAGCAAGGAAAATCTTTCCAAGCATCATAAAATTTTGATGCATAAAAAATTAAGAAATATAAAACGGAAAACTGTATTTAAAGTTACTAAATTTCATTCTGATTAAGTCATTAAGTGTATGAAGCAATACTGTTGTATTCCCATTGCTGGTATCTTTTTTCCACGCAATATTTTCAATGTTTCAAAAATTTTGGGCGCATAAAAAATGTATAAATGAAGGATAGAAAACGCCTTATTTAATGCTGGTATTTGTTCAAAGGTATCAAAAATTCTTTCGATGCATGAAAACGGTTCAATGAAGAATAAAAACTGCTTAGGTGCTTTATTTAACTCCGGTATCTTTTCAAGGCATCAATTTTTTTGATGCATCAAAAGTGTTCAATGTCACCAATTTTTATGAAAAAATCAACATTTTCGAAATTCAATCATTTTCTTAGCATGAAAAAAAAATTCAAATATCAATTTTTTTAATGCATCTAAATTTATATTTTTTAGATATCAAACATTTTCAAGCATCAATTTTTTGAGTGCATCAAATATTTATACAGGAAGGATAGAAAAGTTCTTAGTTGTCTGGTAATTTTTCGAGGCATCAAATTTTTTTTGATGCATGAAAAAAAAATTGAAGCATCAAAATTTTCGAAAGGTCAATTTTTTGCGCATCAAATTTTTTGAAATAAAAAAATTTTGACTCCGACATACTTTTTAATTTATACTCACTTTTCTTATGTCTGCAACTGTTGAACTTGCACATGCTGAACGACTGGCCCATGGAGCGCAGGCTCACGCGCCTGGCGCGTACGGCGCGCCCTCCTACGCCTGCTGCCGCCCCCTTGGGCGCAGACGTGGGGCGGCCGGGGCACAGCCCCACATCACGCCACCACTCTTTCAAGGTCACCGCCACGCCCGAAGCCTTGCCGATGATGCCCGACGACCGCGCGGCCGACGACGAGCGTTGCTTCTGTTGAGCGTGCGCGACTTGCTTGTGGGCGGGGCGCGCGGACGCCGACGTCCAACGGTGATGCCCGATCGCGTGCTGCTGACGGCAGGTGTCGCTGAGAGCCGTTTTGGTGGATTGGTGGGCCGGGTAAAGGGAATTTCCGGGTGGTTTTTGGGGTGATTTACGTTGTATCTTCGATCGAGAACGTCTGATTGGTTTTGGGTGCTGTTTTTGTCATTCTATTCTGTTTATCTGTTCGAAAATTAAGAGAACATTGTTGTGACGTATGTGAAATATAACAAAAGTTAAATTTCACGCTCGAGACGACAGAATAACTAAAGTATATAGTTGGTAATGAAAACATTCTAAAATAAGATTATATGCCCTGGAAATCATATTAAACTTTTTTTGACGCATTTCAATATTATTATGGTTAAGAATTGGGTTCTTCTGTCACGTTTCTTTGAAGATTTTAGTTATTTACGGTTTATTAATTTTACATTATTTATTTTATATATGGTATTTTTGCAAGTTCTTCATATCTCTAAGTAAAATCACTGCACTGGGTTGAATCCAAACGGAAATCAGCTCGTCAGTAGCTTTTACTAGTAAAAAAATTGCCTAACCGATAAATATGCTTAACGCTTCAAGATGTATATTTCTTCTCGTCGTCAGAAGTAAAAAGACATACAGAAAAAAAGAAAAATATAATTTTAACAGAACGTCAATAGTTCATAATCGACCTATTTGATAAGAAATAAAGGATCCTTGAAGTGTTGTATTTCGATATTTTAAATAGTTTTTTCTTTGCCTAACCTAACCTAATCTTCTGAAACGTTTAGCATTTTTCATCGATTGGGCAAATTTACTAGTAAAACACTGACAACCTGGTTTCTATTTGGATTCAAAGGAGTGGTGTTTAGAAAAAGTTTTTTTTTTCTTACGGTAGAGTAAAAAAACATTTTTTTTTCAATATACAGGATGGTCCAAACTGTATTCTGGACACTTCGCCAGCATATTCTGCAGATAAAAATAAGTAAAAAAGTTCGTATAGATGTATGTCCTAAAATGCTTAGTTTTGAAGATACAGGGCGTAGAAGTTTCATTTTTATTTTAATTTTTTCCAAATAATTTCTGAAGTAACGTCAATATTTGGATAAAAATTGTTTATTTTTTGTCAATAATGACATGTATTGACTACTTCCATTCTAAATATCTTGAGAACAGTTGTTCGTAGCGATTTTTACCAACAGACATTTGTTACGTAAAAAATCGCGGAAATGTATATTTTTTTACCCAGTAGTTTTATACAGGTACTGACGAAAAGTTATTACTCCTCAAAACAGTTTAAACCCCTCTACAAATAGGGATATTGCCATCAAAATCAAATTTCTCATATCAAACAACTCCCAGACACCAATTTTCATCCGAATATTAACGTTACTTCAGAACTTATTTGAAAAAAATTGAAATAAAAAAGATACTTCTACACCCTGCATCTCCAAAACTAAGGAATTTAGAACATACATTTATACGAACTTTTTTACTTATTTTTATTCCGGAATACAGTTCGGACCACCCTGTATAATAAGTATCAAATTCACGATAAATGTAAAGAATGTTTTGGTTGATATTTTCATTGTTTCAGCTTCAATACAGTTCGCAGGATGCCTTCGATATCCTGGCATGTTTGGCAACAGCGTTTTTTTTGTTCCTGCGATTTTATCGGCGACTATGAATGAAGAACAACGCCGGTGTCAAGGTTATAATGACCTTGCGGCCGATTGCCTATTGGTAGCGACGCGAGATTTCATCTCTATGAAACCGAACGTATGTGGTTAGTTCAAAGTGCGCCTATCTCCTTTGAAAAAAAATCGTTGCTTATACCAAACATAGGAAAACTATAAGTATAAAAAAATGGATCTAGCTGATTCTACAAATAAAAATAAAACAAAAAGCTCCTATGAGAATACGCCCTAAAATTCTCCCCGAGGAAGTTACAGAACAACATATTTTAATTTTTATACATATCTATAACACTGAATTATCTGATAATTAACAAGAATGAAATTTATTTGGTATAATGTCCAGTTTAATTATTACACTTTATTTTAATTTATTTATAATACATTATTAATGGAGATGTACCAACAGCAGGTGATATTGTTTTTGGACTGAAACTTGAAATTAATCCAACAAGTTAATCCTGAAAATACTTTCTTGCATTGCCATATTAATTAGTAAGATTTTCTGTAAACAATATTCGTAATTATTGTGAAATTTCCACCAACGACAGAACAGCTGTTGTTCACAGTTAATTGATTTCTAATGATCCAAATTAAGTAATATGTATACAGGTATTGGCTAATATATCACGTTTTAGATCAGTGATATTGTCTACACAATATTTTCACTTTTTTTCATTACCTTTTTCTCTTATGGGTTAATATAGGATTATTTTTTTTATTTTGAAAAAAATATTTTTTTCTCGATAATAGTGATTGATAATATTCCTATATCAAGTGTTTTTGAAATTAAATAAGCTTCATAATATTAATATTACTTGATACTGACATAATACTATTTATTCTGTTCGAGTGCGTGATTCCAAGAATCCATTTTAATGTGGGAATTTTGACATATTTTATTAATTACACGAAAAAGTAATATTAAATGTAAATTAGATAAAGTTCTAACTCCTAATCGGAAACAATACATTTTTATTGTGTGTGTTCTACAAAGTATGTAGTTTGAATTTGTGTCATTTTTCAGCCAGTCACGATGTGACTGAGGTAATCCATCTTTTCCGTATTATTTATTATAGAATTATCGGTAATAATAAATAAATCTATGATATACTCGGAAATAAAAGAAATATTTTATGTCGATATTTTAGATTATTTTTATTATATTAGTTTAAGTATAAGATTATAAAAAAAAAAATATTTTTTTATAATTTTGTTCACAACCTGTTCATAACCAGCCTGCCGACTTACTATCATTTCCATGGAAATTCGGGCACCTACCTATAATAGTTCTATCGAATACACTTTTAGTCACGTGATTAAGCTTGACCGGCACAGCGTTGCCAACTTTTACATATTTTCTTTTAATCAAAATATTTTAGGAAACAAAAAAATTATAAATATATAAACAATTATTATTTACATCAACAAAACTCAACTTCTTAACAGCACTGGTAAGAACTCCATTTTTCTATGCTACGTTCTCTTAAAAGGTTTCAAATAACACTCAATACAGTATCGCCGTCTAAAATTTCTAAGGTTTTGTGGTGGTTCCATTGCTGGTGCCGAATAAGAAGTTTAATTAAAGTGAGTTTATTTTATCTCACTGAGCAACTAGTTGGTTACTGTTTATTGTTTTTATTGTGATATATTATATTTCTGAATCTCAGGTAAATTTTAAGATATTTGATTGAATATAAAGAAAAGACAATTTGTAGATGATAATATTGAAGTATTTCTTTATAGCGAGTTATTTATATTTGTCTATGTGACTTTAACAGAAGATAAGAATAAATTTGTGTATTAATATTATCAAATTGATCTTGATTGAATTATTTTTACTTTACTTTATTATTTTCTAGTTAGCCTTAATGATTAGTTAGTCCTGTAGCGTAGTTAGCCTTGACAAGTAATTAGTTCCGTAGCGTAGTTAGCCTTGAAGAGTAGTTAGCTCCGTAGTGCAGTTTGACTATTAACTTGTGTATTTTTTTAGCCTGTGTGGCATACGTTTTTAATAGTCTGTGTGACTAGCCTGTGTGGCATTTTGATAGCCTGTGTGGCTTGTTTTTAGCCTGTGTGGCATTTTGATAGCCTGTGTGGCTTGTTTTTTTAGCCTGTGTGGCATTTGATAGTCTGTGTGACATGTTTTTTTAGCCTGTGTGGCGTTTTGATAGCCTGTGTGCCATTTTGATAGCCTGTGTGGTGTTTGATAGCCTGTGTGGCAGATTTTTCAATGGTCTGTGTGACTAGCCTGTGTGGCATTTTATTATTTTATTTAAACTTATATTTTTAGGTTGGACTATTAATAAATTATTCAAGTACCTGTTTAATTTTAAATTCACTTTATTTTAATAATAACTGGTAACATTGTTGCTCACACCATGTTTTTTGTTTTGCAGGTAGGTTATCTCGGTAGCCAGGTCATAAAAGACTTTTGTTGCTATACAACATTTGTCCATTTGCAGCGCCCAGATCATTGTTTTTATTTTATATTATTAGTTGTATTTTATTATACAACATTTACGCCCTTTAAATTTGTTTTATGGTTTTTATTTTTAAGTTTGAGTTGACTGCTTGAAAAAAAACTTTTTAGCCCTTACACACTTAAGGGACATAATAGGCTATTATTACGGCTTCCGGTTCAAAATATTCTAATAAAGTTGGGATGAGTTTTTTACAAATATTAAGCTATCTTGTACACTTTGCACTAAAAGAGGTTCTAAAACGAACAATGTTCGACTGCAAGGTCTTTTAGTAAACATTTTTAAGTGTAAAGTATCACAACAATTCGTTTAAATAAAGAACTCGTAATACAGAACTGAAGTGTCAAAACGAATGACAAAGTCAGAAAATAAATACATAAATGTGGCAACTTGAATTTAAAAAAAATATTATTTCTTTCATATTTTCTATCTTAACCATCTGGTCCTCGTCCAGACGTAAAAATCATAGAAAACAAAGACCAGGCGAAACGCAGTTGATTTTAAGGCTGGAGATAATGAAAATAGCAGAAAAGGGTTCTTGAAACCTTTTCAATGACCCTTCTGAATAACACTTCACTACAAAAAATAAACTTTTCCGATTGTTCCGTTGGCTTTATAATTCCCTTTGCAATTAGCAAAATGTACTTGAATTCCGTTTTCTTCTCTCTAAGAAAATGGAAAATTCTAGTTCAAAACCAAAGTCAGTGTAATGGTTAAAAAGATTCATAACTTAAGTGTGCTTTGATTTTTACTATAAAAATACATTTAAATTATACAGGGTGTTTAAAAAAAAACATGTGTCATCTCTCGTGGGGAGATTTTTCACGTAAAAATAAAACTTATTTTTCATATAAATATAGGTCCGATTCTGCTTTGTTTCGTAGCTACAGGGTGTTAAACTCTTAATAATCTTTCGATTTATTAAAAAGTACTTTTAGTGATTTGAATGAAATTTTAAGGGTAAAAGTTACTGTAAGTGCTACATACTTTAATGCTAAAAAAGTGCCAATAAATTTATCAGGAA